ACCTTAGGTCCTTTCACAGGAGCAAGAGTGATGTTTACGTAAATCCCATCCTGGCAAACCACTTTGCAACACCTCAGTAGCTTCCCAGAGCCCTGGGGACAAATGTCCACTCTGCCACCACAGCCAGACCCCCTGCCCTGTGGCAGCCACTTACTCTCAAAGTCCTCTGTGCTCTCCACAAGCTCCCCACCAAGAGATTTGGGGCAGCTTGGCTCCTCCCCCTGCCTGGACAGGTTTCCCACAACACTTGCCTCTTCTCACTTATGGAAAAGCTGAAAGAGTTTGATGAGCATCTGAATGGACATCAGACAGCTCTACTCACCTAGAGTCATCAACTATTAACAGTTCGCACCTTTAGCTTTATGCTTGCACACGCACGTGCACACACACACGTACACTCTTTTTTCTGGCCCATTTGAACATGAATTGCAGATATCATAGCATTTGATGCTTCAGTATAAATCCCCTGTGACACTTGTGTAACCACAAAAGAATGATCACACTTGAGGAATTTTAACATTAATACAATAATTCATAGTCCATTAGCAGATTTACATAAATGTTCCCAATATATCCTTTTAGGGGCTGGAGATTTGGCTCGGTGGTAGAACACTTGCATAGCACGTGCATAGCATAGTCCTCAGCACCAAAAACAAAAAAATAAGCCAATATATTTTTTTAACCTATTTTTTCATTTGAAATCCATGATCCAATTGGCAAGCATGAATTGCATTTTGTTGCCTTACCTCTTCATTATTATCTTGTTATTATTTGTTTGTTTTTCTTAAAGATTTATTTATTTATTTATTTATTTATTTATTTATTTATTTATTTATTTGGTACAGGGTCTCACTATGCAGCTCAGACTCAGCATGTGGTACCAGTGATTGAACCCAGCTCCTTGCACTTGCCAGGCAGGCACGTAGACTGCTGAACTGTCTCCCTGACCCTATTATTTGGTTTTTTGAAATAGGTTTTCTATATAGCTCAGGATGGCCTTGAACTCATTATGTGGCCTGCACTGGCCTCAAATTCATAGTGATCCTTCTGTCTCAGCCTCCTGTGTGCTGGGCGTGCACCACTATACCTGGCTTCTTCTCCTTTAATCTAGAACACCCTCTCTGCTTTTTCTTTTTTTAATGATATAGATATTTCTACATAGTTCTGATCAGTTGTCTTTTAAAATGGATTTGGAGATTCTTTCTCTTATGGTTAGATTTTGGTTGAACAGTCTTGGTTGGAATAATCCATGAATGATGTTACATATTTCCTACATCAGTTTGCCACATGAGTGATGTTCAGCTTGTTCACTTGGTGAAAGCAGTGTCCCCAGCTCTCTCCATTATAAAGGTTTTTTTTATTTTTATTTATTTATTTATTTATTATTATTATTTTTTTTTTTGCAGAACCGGGGATTGAACTCAGGCCCTTGCGCTTGCCAGGGAAGCGCTTATTCCACTGAGCCATCTCCCTGGCTTATTTATTTATTTATTTATTTATTTATTTTTTAAGGGAAGGGTCTACAGGGTGCTCAGGTTTTCACTACTAGATTGGACTCGTACTGATCCGCCTATTTACAGCCTCCCAAGAGCTGGGATTACAGGCACCACCATGCCCAGTCTCAGTTGCCATCTCAGCACCCCAGGGAGGGGAGGGGGCAGGGCTGGCATGGTGGGCAGCATTGCAGACCCGGGGTGGCCCCTGCACAGCAGGTGCTTTCATTCACTGATCTATTTGGCCAGCCCTGTTGTTGTTTATTTTTGTTGGGGAATTGAACCCAGGACCTCAGGTGTGCTAGGTGTGTGCTCTGCCACAAAGCCACAACTCCAGCCCAGCATTTTCTATTTGTTTATTTGTTTTGAGAGTAAGTCTCACCATTTTGCTCAGGCTGGTCTTAAATTCCAGGCTCAAGAGATCTTCCTACCTCAGTCTTCCAAATAGCTGGGACTACAGGTGCAGACCACTGTGGCCAGCTTTATAAAGATATTTTAAAGTATTTATAATTGATGAGTAATCTGTGGTCGTACTTTGCAATGTGGAGCAACACATCCAACTTTAGTAATTTAATTTTTTTTTAATATTCATTGATGACCCTTGCTTGAACCCGTTTTCACATTAGTGCTTACCAACTGGTGATTTTTAGTCATTTTTCCACATTTTGTTTATTTTTTTTATTATTTTTTTTTTTTAGTTTTTTTTTTTTAATTTTATTCATTTGTGTGTGTGTGTGTGTGTGTGTGTGTGTGGCCAGCTCAGCCCACCAGGGGGCGGGGCTGGCTGGCATGTGGTGCTGGGGATTGAACCGCGGTCCCTGTGCTCTGCCAAGCTTGTTCTAAGTAGGTGCTTTAGACCACTGAACCATCTCACCAGCCCACCACATTTTGTTTAGATGCCATTTTCTTTTTTTTTTTTTTTTTTTTTTTTAGGGGGGAAGGGTCTACAAGGTGTTCGGCGTCTCACTACTAGATCAGACTCATAATGATTCTCCTGTTTACAGCCTCCCAAGAGCTGGGATTACAGACGTGTACCACCACACCCAGTCTCAACTACTGTGTCAGTGCGCCCCGGGAGCGGGGCCATCACAGCAGGCCCAAGGATCAAAATATCAGCCCTGGTGCCTGCTTGCAGATGCTTTAATCTGCAGAGCTATTTGGCCGGCCCTTAGATCCCATTTTCTTTTTTTTTTTTTCCTTTTTTCTTTTTCTTTCCGTGTGTGTGTGTGTGTGTGTGTGTGTGTGTGTGTGTAACCGGGGATTGAATATAGGCCCTTGTGCTTGCCAGGTAAGTGCTTATTTTACTGAGCCATCTCCCCAGCCCCAGATACTATTTTCTTGCAAGTCACCTGGATAATTTGCTCAGGTTTAAATTTGCTCTGCTTGCCTAGGGATATAGCTTGGTGGTCTAAGCACCTGCCTGGCAAGCGCAAGGACCCAGGTTTGATTCCCAACACCCATGCCAGCCCTGAAATCGGGTGTGGTGGTGCATGCCTGTAATCCCAGCGCTGGAGATGCTGAGGCAGGCGGATCACTACAAGTCTGAGCTGCCTAATGAGACCCTGTAACAAATAAATAAATAAATAAATAAATAAATAAATAAATAAATATTAAATTTGCTCCCTTTGCTGTGTTGGATCCTAGACCAGCTGAGCTCCTTCAGCCCAATTAGGTCGGGATTTTCCTTATATGTCTCGTAGTGCCCTGCCCTTGGTCTCCTTTTCAGCTGTCATTGTGCAGTCTTTCAGCCTTGATGTGCATCTTCAAGATGGACTGTTTCCACCCCATACACATCTACAACCTTGCCGTTAGGGCACTGTCGGTACATAGTAACTGCACAGTAAATTGTTGTTGAATAAGTAGGCGCAGAATTCCAATTCTTCTCACTCTTGGGAGGGAGGAATGGCATTCTTGCTTTCCCCTCCAAACTTCATGTTTTGTTTGCTGTGACCGTGTGGAGGTGACTCGGCACAGCTGTGTGCTTTGTTCTGAGCTTTAGACTAGGTCCAGCCACTTGGGAATGGAGAAACCATAGGCAGAGACAGACGGTGCACAATGTTAAGAAGCTCTTGGCCCTGCTTGCCTACCGTGATCACACACACACATACACACACACACACGCACACACACCACATGCACATGTGTGCATACACCCCCACACTCATGCACACACATACCACATGCACATGCGTGTATGCACACACACACACACACACACATGTGCACACACACCCCACAGACGTTCTTGCCTTCCTGCCTGTCCTGCAGCCTTTCCATCACAGGGACTCAACCCTTCCCTGGCCTCTCCGCATCCACTTAGACAACTGTTGCTTGAGGAACTTCTCTGAGCCAGATGGTGCCAGCGGGTCCCCAACAGGAAGCCTGCATATGTGCGCCAGGCTGCTTCCCTCCTGCAAAGTGGAACAATTTTATCACTGAAGATGATAATTTTTTTAAAAGTCCCAGAAATTGTCATGGTGGGGGAAAAAAATCTAAATTTACTTGGAATTCCTTAGGGTTCTTTTCTAGTTTAATACTGTTAAAAATAATGGATTACTTCGTGCATTTTCAATGCACAGAGCTTCTGAATCCTAATTCGGTCCAGGTGCCAGCTCTTACATCAGATGCCTCAGCAGGCAACGGGCACAGCTGTCCTGCCTCACAGAGGTCGCTGAGGCGGAGGTGCAGACAGTGCAGTCACGGGGTGACTATGGTACTGCCCAACTCAGTTTACAGATTCCCTTGGATAAATTTTGCACCACCAAGGCCAAGGTCTTGGGGCTGATGTTGTAGGGATCAGCAGCTGCCCAGGATTTCTATTCTTAATAGGAAAAGGAAATTTCTATTCTTAAAGGAAAGAAAGGAAATTTCTATTCTTAAAGGAAAGAAAGGAAAGAAAGAAAGAAAGAGAGAGAGAAAGAGAAAGGAAAAGAAAATAAAAGAATAAGGGGTCAGAGAGATAGCTCAGTAGAGTAAGTGCTTGCCTGGCAAGCGCAAGGGCCTGAGTTCAATCTCCAGTTCCACCAAAAAACAAGAAAGGGCCAGGGAAGGACTCATGAGTTCTTCTAACTCATGGAGCTCATGAGTTAGAAGAAACAGATTTGTACAGTAGATTCGAGTTACTGTTTCTTTCTCCTTGCTGCAGTGTTGACTGGGGCCTCCTGTATCTTCCCTTAAATTCTCTGGTCCCCATCCCTTTCTGTCTGAGACATACTCTAGGCTTTCCACTGGCTCCAGAGAGTTTAATGTCCCTTTCTGTGGCAGCAAATCATGTCCTCTCATGAGAGGCCGGGCATGCGTTCATCACTTGCACCTCAGACAGCAGAGAGCTGCCTTTGGGGATGGAAGGCTGTGCAAGCCTCCCACCCTGACTCTACTCAGAGGGCAGATTTCCAGTATGAAGTCACATGAACCACTAGCCTTGGGAACCCAGGCAAGAAGCAGGGTGGAGGTGGGTACAAGCTGGGCTGGGCTGGCACCCCGCTCACCATCCCACTGTCTTCCCAGCTCCCAAAATGGTGATGAAACCGGCACCTGGCCCAACAACCAGTTCGACACAGAAATGCTGCAGGCCATGATCTTAGCCTCTGCCAGTGGTAAGTGGCCCTCTTTGTGTTGTGGGATTGAGGGGTGCAGCTCAGATGCCTCCCTCAACCGCCTGGAGACTGGGTATCAAAGGGCATAGTCTCTCTGGATCTTGTACCTGCTGAGTGAGGACCCGTGACTCCAGGACATAGAACAAGGTTAAAGAACAGCAGAGGAATTGCAGGTCCTCCCATGCATGCCCAGAGAAGAAGTGAACAAGTAACAATCTATTGAGGTGCGGGGGTGGTGGGTACAAATGTAGCTCTGGAGGGGACAGCATGGTCAGGTCTTAGCTCTGCCACTTATCTGCCTTGTGACATTCATCAATTGGCTCAGTTTTTCTAAACCTCAGTTTCCTCAGTCAAGGAAGTGGGGGACAGAAACCCAAAGAGTTCTTGTGAAGATTGAAGGAGAGGCTACCATAAAGCATAGAGTCCCAGACCTGGCACATGCAAGTATTCAGTCAGTGAATGTAGGTACAGATGGTCCCAAGAGAGATTTTATTTATTTATTTACTTATTTACTTATTTTCTGCATTCACCTCTAGGCCAGGGTTTTGGGTTTTTCACAAGGCTAGCAAAGAGCTTCACATGTGACAGGGATTCAGTCAATGGTATTTTCCCTGAAAAGTCACATTGGTCCTGAACAGGGGAAGCAGAATAATAACTTTAGTGCTTTGGAGGCAGGTCAGTCTGGATTTGAATCCTACTGCCACCACTTGGCTGTCATTAAGCCCCTGGGCCTCAGCTTCACTTAGGAAAAGGACACATTAGTAGACTTCATTGTATGACGTGCTGACCAAATGTAAGGCCTCTGCTCAGGATTGGCAGACAGTAGAGCACATAATTGACTGAATGTTATATTTATTGACCAGTAGGGACAAAAAGCAGAATTAGAGGGATGCCTATTAATAAGCATCAGCTTCCACAGCAATAAACAGTGGGCTCCTAGGGAGGCTGGCAGAGGGGTAAGGCCCCCGCCTTTGACAGTGAGCTGAGCCCCACCACCAAGCACAGCCGGAGGACTGGTAGTCGAGAACCAGAAGTCATAGTGACACTGCCACTATGCCAGGACACAAGCTAGACTCACTTTGTGAGATGTCAGAGCCCCAGTTTTGAGTTCTGATTGTAACCCACCTCTGTTCCCAAGTCCATGCTCTTTCTACTATAGGTGACTGTGTCTGCATTTAGATCCAGCCTCTTTTCCTAGGTTATTAGAGCTAGAAGCTGAACTCCTCGTGGTTCTAATTCTTTCAGATTTAAGTTGCCAAATAAAATGCAGGCTGCCCTGTTAAATTTGAATTTCAGATGAACAAGTATTATTATAGCCTAAGTAAATTTCAAATGTTGCACAAGATCGATTACATTAAAAATTTATTGTTTACTTAAAATTCACCTATAACTGGATACCTTGCATTTTTATTTGCTGTCCTCTGGCAACCCTACTGGACCTGTCTGTGAGGTTTTGTGGGGTCAGGCTGTGGCTGATGGCAGAAGGCGGTACTGCCAGCCTCCTGGGGCAGAGCTGTCCCAGGTTTGAAGCAGCTGTAGTCCTAGAAAGGCCACATACTGAATATGAAAGAGGCAGGCAGCTGGGCCAGGGGAGAGGCCAAAGCCAGCCCTTGAGGGAAGTAAACAGCTCTATTTAGCGTTGTGGCCTTAAACCCTAAGGCCAGAAAAAGGCCTTTTAGCCTAAATCCAGATGTTAGAAATGGGCATGGAAGCAGTATTTATGGCCTAAAATCCTCCCTGAAAGTCTCCCTGGATCAGGGCCAAGGCTAAAACTCCTCTGTTGGGGCTCCACCTTGCCCTCCAGCCACCCTTCCAGCCCACACTGGGCCTGACCCCCAGCTGCCCTTGCGCCCCAGGGAGTGGACTCTGGGATGGAGGTGGTAGGGTCAGGCCCTCCTCTCACTTGCACACTCACTTCCTAGCACCAGAACCAGAGAGCTTCCTGGCGTTCAGCCCAGCCAGGCCTAAGGGGCTGCCAAGGGCAGCTAAGAGGGGCCCTTGGACAGCTTTTTAAATAAACACTTGGAGGTGTGCTCTCCAAGAGGCTGTGGCTTGCAGCTGACCAGCTCTGGTCTAGCTTGCTCTGGCCTCCCTGGCCACTCCAAAGATTATGCCTCAGCCCTGGCTTCCCTGGCTTCTCTGGGGGAAGCGGGAGTGACTGGGGCTGGCACAGGAGGGGAGACCAGCTTACTCACCTCCTCCAGCCAGAAGATGGTTGCTGGATTCTTTTTTTTTTTTTTTTTCTGGACCTGGGAATTGAACTCAGACCCTTGCCCTTGCTAGGGAAGCGCTTATTCCACTGAGCCATCTCCCCGGCCCGTGGATTCTTTTCTAAATGGACTTAGAGACTTAGACTTCGAGAAAATCTTGGTCCTTGCCCAGTGTGGGTGTTGGGGGCAGGAAAATGTAGAGAGAGGGCACTACTGCAGAACTGATTGTATAGCAGGTGAAAGCGGGTGATCCAACTTCTTTCCCTCAAATCCTAGAAGGGGAAACAGGCCTGAGTGGTCCAGGGCCTGGACCAAGATCACAAAGCTCCTTAATGGCAGAACTGACAGATTCCCCATCTTCTCTTCCTCCCTACTCACCCCAATTTCGTGGACCCCACAAGGTGGGAGGGAGTTTGCTATGTTATTTTCATCCATTCTGGGTGTCTCTTGGAGATTTTGAGCACGTGTAGGATGTGGGCGGGCCTGACTTCTATCTTTAAATTCTGCTACCCTCCTCCCAGTTTCTTTCCCTGCATTCCTTCCTCATTCTCTTCTGGTGCACATGTGACACTCCTCCCCCCTCCCCCCCCACTCCAGTCTTCCCTCTCGCCCCTAAATCATTCTGCAATTTGGGCTCTTTGAAACCGGATCTGAGCCCTTCTCCTTCCATTCCCAGGCTCTAGGAGACTGGAAGTGGCAGGAGCTGGAGGGGAGAGGAGGGGAGGGGCGGGCGACGAGGACATGGCTCCTCCTGGAGTTAATTAGGAAAAACAGGGAAACGTCAAAACGTCTGAAAAGGCTGGGGGAAGGGCGGCCAGCGGAAGGAGGGAAGGAGGTGGGCAGCTGCTCCCTCCTCCCCAACTCTCCTCCCCGCCCCCAGAAGGCCACAGTTGCGAGGATTTAGGGTTTGAGTAGTGGCTGTGGAAACCTGAGCGCTAGAGGCGCGTTTCTGCTCTCTTCTCTTGTGCCCTCCCCCTCTGACCGCGGCACTAAAAATATTTCCTATTTCTCAATATCCCTGGTTAGTGTCCCAGAATTACGCAGTTTCTCCAGCTTTAGTCACCCACTCTACCCTTTCCAGGGTCCAGGGTGGGGTCAGAGGGAGACTGGGATGTGCGCTCTTCTTCCAGCTGCGGAGGGGTTAGGCCGGGCATACCTGGTGCTTTAACTCCCTCTCTGCCAGGAAGGAGTTTGGGGCCTCCAGCCTTGAGCCCAAGGAATCAATTTCCTGTTTCTGCCCAGTGTCCTTCACCCAGAAAGGGATGGTGGAAGAAGACAAAGACGACAGTAGCATTTGTCGAGCAATTGTCAAGTCCCTGGACACTGGGTGAAGCAGTGTCTGATTCAGTCCACCCAAAAGCCCCTTGAGGCCTGCTTCCCTGCCTTAGCCTTGTTAGCTGGAGCTCTTTTAGGATGAGGATTTTGAGAATTTGCACTTGACACTGGTTCCCAGGTGATGCTAAGCTCTTCTTCCATTCAGTGGATCTTTGGGCTAGCCACACTTTCTGAGCTCACCCAGCTTGGATGCTGAGCCCCTACTTGCACTGCATCCCATAGAGTCTGGTCCCTGGAATTATCAGCTCAGGCTTCTGCTGTTAGATCAAAGAAGACCCATGATGAAACCAAAAATATAACCAGCTGCGAGGACATGTAAAGTGGAAGTTTACTGCCTCCAGCAACTGCATACCTGGCCCATGAATCTGGGAGTCGTCCCTGGCCAAGGGTGGTCAGTTGTACACAGGTGGGTCTGGATTCAGATGTGGGAATTGGAGATTGGAAAGAAGGGAACAGAGTGGGATCACCTGATAGGTTAAGCCAAGTTTTTTTGCTTGTTTTTGTTTTTAAACTTTTTTTTTTGGTTTTTTTTTTTTGCGGAACCGGGGATTGAACTCAGGCCCTTGCACTTGCCAGGGAAGCGCTTATTCTATTGAGCCATTTCCCAGGCCCTATTGTTTTTGTTTTTGAGATAGGGTCTTGCTATGCAAGCTCTTTGAAGGGCAGGTCTGGTAAGGCAGGTGGAGCTGGGGATCGAACCTCTCCGGTGTCCTGTTCATGGCCGCTTAAATAACTGAGCCAGGCTGCCTTTGAAAAAGCCAGTGCTCCTCCTTCCTGAGCCTCCCAAGTGCTGGGACTATGGGCATGCACCTCCATGCCTGGCTAGTTCTGGGTATTACATTCTCTTGTCATACCTAAAGCATGGCAGGTCCCCATTTTCTCCTTGTCTCCTTTGCCCTGAAAGTAAAGATAAGGTACAAACTGGAGTAGGTGGTAGAGTAGCTCCGCTCTCCAGCAGGCGCTTAGGTACACTTGGGCCTGAATCTTGTGGGAACATACTCTCTGGTATCTGCAATCTTTTGGCTGGGTTCTGTCATCTGTAAAATCCGCATACTTCACTGGATGTTGTGTTGAAGTTAGAAGGGTCCACACATGGGAAACCTCAGCAAAGTGCTTGGCTCAGAGGAGGCAGTCAAATGCTACCAAAAAATGTATGCTTGGAAGAGTGTCGAACACCCCATCCCTCCCACTAGCACAACTGCTGACTTGCACCTTGTGCCAGGCACTGGTTGTAGAAGGATAGGTATATAAACAAACCATAGCCTGATGTAGAAGCCAGAGTTTCCTCTGTGAAGAATCAAGAAGAACAAGAATTTGGGAGCCAGAGTCTTGGCTTTGAGAAGTACTAGCTAACATCTGTGTGGCATTTACCTTGCACCAGGCACTATTTTAAGTACTTCACATACATGTTCATGTTTTACTTTCATTTGAACCAGAGGTGGTGGATACTGTCACTCCTGTTTTGCAGATCAGAAAGACAGCTAGCAATCAAACCTAGGCTTCCTCTTCTTCTTTTTTTTTTTTTTTTTTTTTTGCAGAACCAGGGATTGAACTCAGGCCCTTGCGCTTGCCAGGGAAATGCTTATTCCACTGAGCCATCTCCCTGGCCCGCTTCCTCCCTCTTAACATCTGGATGACCACTGTATTCCCAGGGCTCAGCATGGTCAGGGTCCACAGAGCTCTACAGACATAGATGATCTACTTGTGGTAGAAAAGTCATGGTCCACTGATGATCTGATCTTCCCCTGTCTTTGCAGAAGCTGCTGATGGGAGCTCTACCCTGGGAGGGGGAGCTGGCACCATGGGCCTGAGTGCCCGCTATGGACCCCAGTTCACCCTGCAGCATGTGCCTGACTACCGCCAGAACGTGTACATCCCAGGCAGCAATGCCACACTGACCAATGCGGCTGGCAAGCGGGATGGCAAAGCCCCAGCAGGTGGCAATGGAAACAAGAAGAAGTCTGGGAAGAAGGAAAAGAAGTAATGTGGAGGCCAGGCCTAGAGCCACAGAGTAGCCTCTCCCCCCAACCAGCTTCTCCTTACCTGTACCCAGGCCTCAGAATTCCAGGGCTCACTCCCAGGATTCTGGTAGGGGCCAAGGCCATGCTCCCCTTGAGAAACAGAAACAAGTGCCCAGAGTCAACACCCCCTCTCTCCCCCCAGGGGGTTGAATATGCAAAGGGAGTTCTGCTGGGAACCCCCCATCCAATCAATTGCTGTACCCATGGGGGTAGTGGGATTAGTGTAGACACAAGAACCATTGTCACACCCCCTTTAGTTACAGCTGAACTCCTTCATTTTCCAAATCAATCAGGCCCATCCATCCCCTGGCTTTCTGCTCCCCTACCCCACCCCACTCCTTCAAAGTTCCTCTCTTGAGTAAGGTGGTTGGGGTGTTGAGGTACCAGGTGACCTAAAAAGGCTCATCATTCTGAAGAGTTGGAAGAGCATCATGACCTCTTGGCCTCCCCTTCAGTTCTCAATCTTCCCCCAAAGCATGCTTTGGTGCCAATCCTTTCAACCCCTTCTAGAGCCTGCAACCAGTGCTGCAGTTTTGGGGTAAAAGGTCACCATCCATCCCCATGGTACTGATGCTTGCTGGATTTAGGGAGGGCATTTTGCTACCAAGCCTCTTCCCAACGCCCTGGGGACCAGTGTTTTGTTCTGTTTTTCATTGTTTGATGTTCCCACTGCATGCTGTGACTTCTCTACCCCTCCTCAAGAGACTCCGTTGCATGTTGTGAGGTGGTAGGGGGTGGTAAGATACAGAAGCGAAGAGTGTGTGTGCGTGTGTGTATGGGTGGGGGAGAATGGACAAAGCTTAACCCATCAGTTAGTTCACAGAGTCTTGCAGGAGCCTCTGTGTGTCCCCAGAGTACTGGCCAGATCCCCAAATTCCAGTCACAAAGCAAACAGTAGGCTGGACATCACCACACATGTGCATCTAGGCTTCAGCCCAGGCAGCCTGCTTTGGGCTGAGCTACCAGGACCAATGGGTTTAAACTGGCATTTCAGTGCAAGGACACCCTGAGCGGGGGTTCAGGAGCAGATCCCCTAGAGAGGTCAGAAGGGCTGGCCTCTGTGGGTGCTGGGTACTCCAGAGGTGCCACAAGTAGAAGGGCTGGAGGATCCCCAGCAGGAAAGGAGGCCCGGCTAAGCCATTCTTGGTCCTTGGGTTGGGAGGCAAAGAGCTAGGTCAGGGACCAAGTGAGCAGGAAGTCTCGGCCCATAATGGGGGGGGCTTCTTCACAGGGTCCCTGTACTCCTCAAGCCTCAGCCCTTCACCTAGCCAGGTGCCATTTCTTTTCTGTGAAGGCCAATGCCTAAGCCCCCAATCCGCCCCCTAGTGGCCAGAGCCTGGTTAAAATCCCCCAGTGCCTCCTTGTGCATAGACCTTCCTGTCCACCTTTTCTGTCCCTGCGGTCCTGTTTCTCCAGCGGGGTTGCAGGAGAACCCCACCCCAGCCCTTCAGTAGTGTAGAGCCCCCTCCCCCGGCTGGTGTAGAATAGCCAATAGTGTAGTGCGGTGTGCTTCACGTGATGGCGAGTGGGCAGCGGGGGCGGGCTGGCGCAGCCGTCGGTCCTTGAATCTGCCCGCAGCGGCCCGTGCTGTGTTTTGTGCTGTGTCCACGCGCTGTGGCGACCCCCTCCCCGATATTGACTCCTTCTATAAGCGCTTCTCTTGCATAGTCACGTAGCTCCCATCCCCACCTCTTTCCTGTATCTCACGCAAGTTTTATACTCTAATATTTATATGGCTTTTTTTCTTCGAAAAAATAATAAAAAGGTTTCTTCTGAAAGGTTGAATGTTTCTATTTAAGACCTAGAGCTCTTGGTATATGTGAATAAAATGAGCTGGGGTGTTTGCTGGAGTGGGGCTGGGCGGCAGCCGCTGTTTGCTCTTGGTTTTGTGTCACTGAGCATCTACATTTAAGTGCACGTGTGTGTGTTGTGTCTGTATGACTGTCCAATATGGCTGTGCACGCTTGCAACAACGCCGTGCCTGTCAGCGCGACGGGCTGTAACTGTGCTTGCGAATCTGCATACTGTGGTGCGTGGTCAGCCCGCGGGTCTGAAGTGGGGGTGGGGAAGTCCGGCGTCTCTGTGTGTAATTGGGTGCGCAGTAGGTGCCAGTCTCCAGGCAGAAGAGACCTGGAGCGCGCGAAGAGGGCAGGCAGCGCTGGCTGGGTGCTGGGGACGCCCTCCCCTCCCCCTTTTGCCTTTCCCGGCTAAACTCCCCTCCCCCAAGCTCCCAGGTGGGGGCTTCGCCTGGAGAGCTCATTCTTTCCTCCTCCACCCACTCAAGCTGCTTAGAGGTTTTGAGATCATCCTAAGTGGGAGGGAAAACTGAAGGGGAGGAGATTCTCCAAAACCGACTAGGTAGCGGGCGGCAGTTTCTCCATCTGGAATTTGCCTTCCTGCTCACCTCTTCAAGGCAAAAGCTAATAAACTGGAGGGCACATCGCTTTCTCGAGGGGGCCGAAAGAGTGACCAATAAAGGTGGACGGCAGGTGCAGCTCGTTCTCTCCTCCCATTCACTCCCAATCCTCCCATCTCCGGCTCCTTCTGCCCGCTTCTCCATACTTAGCACAGTAAATTCTGTGGTCGCGGCAGGAAAGGGGGAGGAGCGGGCGGAAGGATAAAAACAGACCCGCTGGGGTTAACCGAAGGGTCAGCAAGTACAAGCCCAACCCCGGAGGCGAGGAGGCGGTCTCTGGGGTCCCTCCGCTGATTCTACCAGGGTTGGTCACCCGTATTCTGCCACTTCCTTTAGCCTGCTGTCATGGAAACCAAACCTTCCAGTGAAGCATCTGGGTGGGGACGACTTTCTTGCGTGGAAGGGCGGAGTGCACATTCGCGGCGATGGAGCAGGGTTATGTTTCTCAAAACCCGGCTGCGGAGGGGCGGGTATGCCCAGCATCTGGGTTCTATTCCAAGGCACAAGACCATGAGCAGCTGTGGTTGGTCCCCTAATTGGTACCCGCGCCTATAAAGCTGAGCCAGAAACGCGCGGCCTCTAAGGGAGAGGAACCGAGGTGGCAGGCAGCCCACCCCCACACCGGCTGCAGGGGGAGGCAGCTGCCCAGGTCTCGGGCTGTTTAAACGGTTTCTTCATCTAGGTCCAGAGGCTGCTCGAGAGCTTGTCCTCCCACCTACCTCGGGCCTGCTCATTACGTGTAGGTTTCTTTGTGAGGGAGGGCTGTGAGGAAAGGTATCTGGAACCTGATCCCTGGCTTCTGACCTCTGTTGCCTCAGGTGCCCAGCCCAAGATCCTCTACTTTTCCAGTGGTCTGGTGGCCGCTAAAAGAGCCAGCGGTGTGAATGGGAAAATGGGAGTCAGAGACTTACATCAGAAAAAGGGGCTGAGATACAGCTGGAAAACTGGGGAAATGGAGGCTACAGTGTGAGAATAAGACGGTCCCTGTGCTTTGCTAAGCTTGTTCTAAGTAGGTGCTTTAGACCACTGAGCCATCTCACCAGCCCCGAGCTGGACATTTTTTAAAAAATGTATTTAGTTAGTACAGGGTCTCACTATGCAGATCAGACTCTTTTCAGCCTCACTCTCAGCTCTGCCCCCTCCCCAAGCCCGGGAGGGCACGGCATGGCAGGCTGGGGATTGAACCCTGTCTCTGCATCTGCTCAAGCAGTTCCTTTAATCCGCTGAGCTATCTGGCCAGCCCTTGGACACAGTTTCTTTATGGAAGGTCAACTACCTCAAGATGAGCTCTGGCCAGGCAGAAGCCACCACATATTAATCTAGCCCTGTGCTCTGTGTCTGACACCTTTAGCTCTGTGACAGCTTTATCAGGCCAACCAGGGCTGTGATGTAGAAGAGTAGTAGGTTCTTCACTACAGTGAAAAGAAATTACCACAAAGCTTTACAAAGGCTGGGAAGAGGTGCTGTTCAATGTTTTATTAACAGTTGGAATCCTATCAAACTGGAAGTGATGACATCCCAGAAGCCCAAGAGGTGAGGGAATAGGTTTGAATTTTGTCCCCAAACCCCATCTTTTTTTTTTTTTTATTAAATGCATCTTAGCAAAAGTACATTATAAAAGAAAGGGTCAAAGCCCTAGATATCAGCGAACAAGAGGAAGGGGTGACCCAGGAGAGCAATCAGGCCTCCTGCACCAGTCTTCCTGGGAACAGCTCAGAGGAGCTGCCTGTGCCTCTGCAGAAACAAGCTCTAGTGACCAGAATCCTCGTTCTTGGTCCCAAGGCCCCCTCTAGTCTCCAGCAAGAGTCTCAAGCTCCCTTTTGTTCTAACAAGTGTACCACTGGGTCTATTAACAATGTCATTCTTAACTGGCGTGGGAAGCTCAAAGGGATACAGGAGAGTAAACGTGTCACCCTAAGCCAGAGAACCCAAGCTTTCTGAGTTTGGGGGCCACCAAACAATTCAGTCTGTAAATCACCTCTGGGCCAACTAACTTCTCAGGACATCCAGTCAGCATCTGTACATTTGGCTTGGTAGTTTATTAAATTCATAAAATCTCTGGCCTCAGAGTTCCTGCTACTCTTAGGCTTGGCCCAGCCTCAGCGTAAGAGATTCCTGCTGCCTTGGACTAAAGCCGGAAGAGGATCTATCTGTCTTGGCCTCAGAGTTCAGATGACATCTGAGGCCAAGGTCCAAGGATATGCCCAGCACTGAAGCCTATGAAGACAAACCCCAGGAACTCTGAATCTAACACCAAATCCTCTTTGATTATGGAGAGGGAAGGGGAAAGGAAGTTATTTTTCTTTAAAAAAAATTTTTGTACAAAAATAGATCCATTTGCAAAACAAATTCTAAGCCAGTAGATTCCACCTCCCACTTCCTTGGAGACAGGGGTGAGGTGTAGGATGGTCACACGATAGCCCATACTCCAGATGAGATGCACCAAAGCTCTGGGGAAGGCATACAAAGGGACCTTGGCTCAGTAGCCTCGGGCTGGTACAAGGAGGCAAGGGCACAAAGCATGGCAGCAAGCTGGAGACATGGCCCACGCTGTCACTTTGCCTTAGCCACCTGCCCACAGGCTCAGGACTCTGCCACCAGGGCACAGCTAGAGCAATCTACATCCTTTTAAATTTTGGGAGTCCTTTCCCAGGAAGGTGGGTAAGGTGGGATTTGCTCTTTGCTTCCTCAGAAGCAGCTCCCAATGCCACAGCATTAGTAATAAATAACAACAGCCAATAGAAAGAGCAGCAGTGGCAGTAATGAAAGAAGGCTCTAGCCCAAAGGTTTATAAGCTCCATGCTATTCCCAGGGCCAGAGAAACCACAGAAGAAAAGCACAAAGCCAGTAAGATTGACCTAGGGAAGGCCCATTAGAAAGTCGGGCTGAGAAAGCGGGATGGGCCTTGCTTGAGTAAAGGCCCTTGGAGTAACAGAGGAGACAGGGTTAAGGCAGCAAACATGGACCCTGCTTTGGTAACACAATGGTCAGGGCTGGCTGGCTGGGGCTCAGGCCTTCCCAACGCTGCCCTTTTGGTCTCTAGGCAGCTGAAGATGTGTGTGATATTCAGAGAGCAGCAGGCCAGACAGAAAGATGGGGTCAGGGTGATAGGAATGGCTGCTTCAGACAAACAGAACATCCCTCTGACCCTTTAGGCATGTGCTGCAGGGCAGGACAGTCGGCTCCATTTTGGAGCTACCATAGCCACAGGACACAGGTTAACTTGCACGGCCAACCAACTCCTTGGCTTCCTCAAGGATTGTGGGGACTCCTTCACTATTGGACATCTTAGCAGGGGCAGCAGTTATGACATCATCCTTGATCAGGTCCGAAGGTAGCATAGAAGCGAGACATCCGACTTTTCTGTTGCCTGAAAGAGAAAACATGAGATGCTGTCCACAGATTTGTAATCTCTTTCAAATTCTATAGCAGACGTTTAGCCAGAAGCCATGCAAATATGGCTGCCTTTTCAGCTTCACAAAGGCCCTTAGTTTAAAGAAGAGGTAAGTAGGACATATGTTTGGGTGGCAAAGAATATAAGAAGTGGTATAACAGGAAAGCAAGCTTTGCCCTTGCTTCTTTGGTGACAACAGTAGAGAGGTCTGAATATGGTTAAGACACCTGAGTTATGTGTTGGCTATGTCACACTTAGCAAGAGATGAGGTATTCAAAAATCCCTTTTCTCATCATAGGGTTGGTATAATTAAAAAGGCAAAAGCCTATTGTTATAGTTCCTGTATAGATGTCCTCCCCCCACCCCCAGGCCTCATGTAGTCATGGGATAGGCTTCTAGAGTTTTTTGACTGATTCATGGTCCAATGCTGGGACTGAGTATGAGTGCTACACCTACCCTGGGGCAGGTAGCTTCTATACAATATAAGGGAGGGAAAGAGGGCTGCTCTCTGCTGCCCCTCCCTTTTTGCTCTTATTTTTTGCTGTTTTCCACCACCATGAACTGTTGCCCTTTGCCATGTGCCACTCTGCCTTATAGCCAGTGAAGCATGGACTGAAACCTCCACAAACTGAGAGCTAAATAAACCCTTTCTTCCTTAGTTTTGGGTGTCAGGTACCTTGTCTCAGTAATAAGAGAAAAGTAATCAAGACAGAACTTGGTGCCAGGAGTGGGGTTGTTGTTGTGACTATACCTCACCAGGTGGTTCAAAAGCCTTTGGGAATGGCTTGTGAGAGGAGTTTGGAAAGGTTGTCCACTTGGTGCTGGCTTTAGGCACATGCAGAATGCAAGAGTTCTGAGATTAAGAAGGCTTCTACCTAGATTTCAGAAGGCCTGGGTGGCCAGGCAGTGTGTCCCTAAGAGAGCACTGTGTTAAGCTATGAATGTGAAGTCAAAGGGCAGTAGAGACCCCAGAAGTCTGGAAAAGCCAAGACCATGAGGAAAGCTGTTAGGAGGGAACAGGGCAGGCCTAAGAGAGAAGCCATGGGTGCTACAACCACCAGAAGTATCATAGAGGTAGAGCCATATAGAGCTCACGGTTTGCCACAGATTGCTTCAGATGTTGAATGTGGAACTACAAGACTTAAATGTTAAAAAAAAAAAAAAAAAAGACTTAAATGTTTGCTGTGCTGGATTTTGGACTTGCTTTAGTTCTAATCCTTTGCATCCCCATTTGCAACTTTTGGAATGAAAATGTTTATTTTGTGTCACTGAATGCTAGAAGTGTTTAACTTTTCATTTGTACAGGGACTTACAGCTAAGATTACCTTATACCTTGGAGGAGACTTGGGACTTTTCAGCAACACTGAAACTGTTAGGACTTCAGCAATTTTTTTTTTTTTTTTTTTTTTTTCAGAACCAGGGATTGAACTCAGGCCCTTGTGCTTACCAGGGAAATGCTTATTCTACTGAGCCATCTCCCTGGCCCCAGCAATTTTTTAAAAATTCAATTAAAAAAACCTTAATGTATTTGGTACAGGGTCTCACTATGCAGCTCAGACTCATAGTGATCCTCCTGTTTTCAGCCTCCCCAGCGCTGGGATTACAGGTGTGCACCACCATGTCCAGTCCCAGGGCCAGCTCTGTACACCCAGGGGTGGGGCCAACACAGCATAGGGTGCCAGGGGAATGAACCCTGGTCCCTGCGCTTGCCTAAGCTGACACTTAGTCTGCTGAGAGGACTTTAGCAACTCTTAGACATGGAATAAAATGTCTTTTCCATAAAAGGATGTGGGCCTTTGGGGGGCCAGGGGTGTAATGTTATGGTCTGTGTCTAGGTATTTCTCCAAAGCCTCATGCAGTCATGAGGCAGGCTTCTAGAGTTTTGGATTGATTTAGGGTCCAATGCTTAAACCCTTTCTTCCTTAGTTTTGGGAATCAGGTATTTTTTCCCAGCAGTGAGAGGAAAGTAACCAAGACACTTAGTATGTAGTATAATTTTTGTTTTCTTGGTAGTCCTCATAAAGCTTCTATACCAGTGGTGGTAAACCTATGGCATGGATGCTGCAGTGGGCTGTTTGTATCACTGAAGCTCTAAAGGTTCACCATCACTGTCATAGGCCAAAACACATTTCAGTCTGCCCCAAGAGGGCTAGTTCTAGTACAGTCTTGCAACTACACTTTGGAAGGTTGTTGAGGGGTATTGCAAAGAGAAACAGCAAGCACAAACTGGCGTCACATGCACATTGACTCCCATGTGATCCTCCAACAACTAATACCCACATGCCCAGTGCTTTCCCACTTCTTCAAGGGCCTTCAAAGATGTGCACAGCAAGTGTGTATGCATGTGTCAGAGAAGACAGAGTTGGGATTAAGGATGACCAAGAGGGGAACTATACAAAAAACCTGGCTAGTGAAATGTGCAGTTCCAGATGTCATTCTGCATTGAAAGGGAACTGTCAATCAACCCATGTGTTTCTGTTCAACTGGGGGGGGAACCAATCCAATAACTCCAGAGAGAAATGGTTAGTATTGGTTGCCAGGGACGAAGGGGAGAATCAGAAGTGACTGCAACCTTAAAAAGGATGATCAATGTCTGCATAGCCATGTTTACCCTGATTTGAACATTATACAGTATGGGTACATATATCAAAACATCAGAGTACCTCATAAACATTTAATTTTTACATGAATTTTATAAAAGGACTGCTAACTTTTACATTACAGTTTATAAAAAGTTGCTTGTAGAGATGATGAAAATGTTCTAGGATTAGATAGTAGTGACAGGTGCACAATGTTACTAAAATCAGTAAATTGTATATGGTACTTTCACATGGTGTTTTAATTAAAAAACAAAAAATGTAGCAGGAGCAAATGAAAGGTCTAAAGCTCTTTAAATGAGGATTATAGGACTGGGGACAGCTGTGAAAACAAGTCCAGAGAAACCAATGAACAAAGTCCCTCCTTTGGACCAGCAAAAAGTTTTAGGTGAGAAGAAGCCAAACATTCAACAAGCCCAAGTGTTCACCAGAGCCAGTCAGTTTCACTGAAGTCCTGCCCCAGAGCCACTGTTTTCACACCCAGTGGCCACCCACAGGTCAGACAGGAAGCACACGCATGCCAACAGGTTACCAACTTTTAGGTCTCCTCGTCCTCCTCTTCCTCGTCCTCCCAGGGGCACACAGAATTGTCTAACAACAGGAGAAAGAATGGACGAAGATGCTCACCGAAACCCACAGGGCTTGCTGGAACGGAGGTGGACCACAAACTGTTACCTCAGTAGGACAGAGGTGAGGCAAAGGACTACACTTGACCATGACTATCATGTTCTACATGTGTACATGTCTCCACCTACCTTCCTCAGTCTCTCCTCACCAGCAAACCTTCCCTTGAACCTGGTGTTCACTTGGTGTTACTATCTTCTGAAGTACTTGCTCCTCTCAAGTCATGTCCAGGAAGGTTGTGGCCTGGTTGGTTTTTTTTGTTTTTTTTTTCTTTAAAGGTACTGGGAACTCAACCCAAGGCCTTACACATGCTAAACAAGTGCTGTATGGTTGAGCTATACTCATTACCATCAATGTCATTTGTTGTTTCTTCAAATTATCAAGCAGATGAAAAAATATTGCAACAATCTCTGTGTGTAATGCCAATGTGTGTCTCGTGTATGTGTTGAAATATGAACTTCTGGCTCTGGACCCTTGGAAAAGAAAATGGGCCTTGGGACACTGTCTTGGCAACACAGAAGTTAAGTTCTACTGTGGCACGCCTTAAGCTATATCCCTCTTTGGTTGTTTTCTGTAAACCAAAAAGATACCTCTTGTATCTAATACAGCTGGGTTTTTTTCCCAGACTCAAGATGTTTCTGATGTATTATGGATTTCATAAGAACCAGAAGCAGTCAGTAGCAAGACTGTCTCAAGAAGACAAAACAAAACAAACAAACAAGACAAAAACTTTTATAAAAGACAGGCTAGGAATTACTACTAAAGAGGAAGTGCTCTTGTTAATAAGCTTCCTTAGGGAAGAGGAAACTAGGACAGATGGGGAATCATTAACATTCTAAATAACTCATTATTATCTAAAGCTCTGCTAATTATACCTTCTGTCCTATTTTTACAAAAGAGAGAGGACAAATAATGGTATAGGATTACTCTTATCAATCCTTGCAAGACAGGTAGGTGGATCAGGAAGAATGCCTATAATCCCAACATTTAGGAGGCTGAGGCAGTAGAGCCACGAGTTCAAAGCCAACCTAGGCTACATAGTGAGATCCTGCATGCCCCTTCAAAAAAATAAAAAAAAAATAAAAATAGATGATCACTGGAAAATATTTCTGAAAAAACTTCACCATGTCTAGGGCTGCTAGACCATATGAAAGAATATTTCTGCCCCCTGCAGGGGCCTATCTTCTGTTTAATTATGCAAGATCAGTGGAGACAGCCTTAGGCTTGTGTTCACAAACACAGGCTAAGATTTTGGCTCCATCATTAGCCAGCTATGTAGATCTGGTCAACACCTTACCTGAGTCTTTTTTTTTTTTTTTTGCGGAATTGGGGATTGAACTCTGCCCCTTGCGCTTGCCAGGCAAGTGCTTATTCTCCTGATCCATCTCTCTGGCCCCCTTACCTAAGTCTTAATTCCTTTTATCTATTAGCAGGCTAGAAACTAATCATGAAGAGTCTTAAGAGTCTTCCCAACATTATTATTTTATTAGTATAGGCAGAGTTTACTGAGACGTTGGGAATTAATAAAGAAGGGGAAACTGGGCTTAGTGTCACATGCCTGTAATTCCAGCACTTGGGAGGCTGATACAGAAGGGTCACTTTGAGTTCAAGGTCAGTCTAGACAACAAAGTGACTTCCAGGTCAGCCTGAAATACATGGTGAAACCTGGTCTCAAAAAAAAAAAAAAAAAAAAAATCAACACCTAAGTAAGAGAGAGACAGAGAAAAGAAAGAGAGAGGGATAGCTGTATCTCAATGAGCAAATAGTCTATGTATAAAAGGGGCTATAATTCAGCTATGGAGATAGAGTTGAGTCATTAAAACCACAAGCTGACTCAACCATGGCCTGAAATAGTAGCTATAATACAATCGCATGGATTCTTCTTCTTGACACTCAAACCATTGTTCTGCCATACTCTGCAGGTCACAGCAGTTTACATGTTGCTTTTAATGAACCAGCCCTGATAGGGACTCTCCTCTTCCAGCTCCTCAATGGGGCTTTGTATACTGGTCATTCCCTCATGTCTCTAAAGACCGGAAGGTTTGAACATTCCTTTAAATTCTAAGGAAAAGGCTAGTGTTTTTGAATAGGGGCAGCTGCCTGGTTGGGAATGAGGCGGACTATGAGGCGGATCTACTCGACAGTGCTTCTGTTTTTTGGTCTCTGAGTAATAAGCCAGGAGGAACAGCCAGAGATAGTCAAGCAAGGGGCAGAACAGCTGAGTCCGGCAGGCCCAGAGGAAACCTGAAGTCTTGTATTTTGAGAATGGAGCCTTCTAGCTCTAGTCTCTCTTCTCTTTGTAATCCGACTATCACTATAAAATTATTACAAAGTAAAAACATTATTTAAGGACCTTAAATCCTTCTAGATGAATTTTCACTTTATGTATAAAGAAACTGTTCAATCCCTGGTTCCACCAAAAAAAAAAAAAAAAAAAGAAAGAAAGAAAAGAAACTAAGTCTTAGAAACATGAAGTGATTTGTCTAAGGTAACATGACAGCACCACATAGATGCTGATCTGACTCTGGGTCTTCGGAACTCACTTTAGTCTTACATACTTTTGTTTCCTACTTTGATTCCTGACCTTCTGTTTAAGTTCACATGATGTGACAGAACCACAGGCTAAAAAGTGACAGAGTGACTAGATCTATCTAGAACTATCTCCCCTGAAGATTCTCACAGATATATTCAGGTGTGCTTTGTAAACCCAGAGCCCAGAAAGATAAGGTAGAGCTATTTAAAATCACCTAATTCTTGTTTCATCTTTATTAAATATCTCCTAAGAGTAAGTCTCCCATTCCCTCTACATTGAGAGACGGTACTCATTACTTGGTCTTCTACTACAACATTTAAGTTTTGACAAAATCTCTTCCTCCTCTGCTTGTAAGTCTTGTTTTCCCACCTGGAAAGAAATAGAGACTGGGACCTCCCAAGCAGAGGGAAGTCAACGCTGTCTGGCTGCCTCTCTACAGGAAGCATCTGGGATCCTAGCATAGTTCCACAGGAAGATGCTTAAAAGGGAATTCCCCATCAATCTAATGAAGGCTGGCACTTAACCAAGGGGGTTGCAGAAGACATTAGTGTAATCTAAGGTACTTTTGTCAGGCTTAATAATGAATGTGAAGTCACATCTTCTTATATCCTGGGTATATCCTGGGTAGAAAACAATGCTGTGAGACCGTCTAAGACCAAATACAAAGTAGTACTATTAGCTGTACTCTTAGTCAAGTGCCTGTCAAGATTAAATGCTCTAACCCAGAGAGTTACTCTTTACACCTACCTCTTCTTCCCTTGCCTGTACTTAAGGATGCCATAAAATGGACAAGTTTGTGACTAGAGACCTTTCTGTTTACAGATGGTTTTAAGAGCCCCCAGAAGGGAATTTCCCCTCTTGGTATTCAGTAGAGTAGAAGCAGGCAGGCAACGATTACAGATGATTTTTTTTTTTTTTTTTTAATGTATTTGGCTGTTGCAGAGTCCCACCATGCAGCTCGGGTAAAGCTCAGACTTGTAGTGATCCTGCTTTCAGCCTCCCCAGGGCTGGGATTACAGGTGTGCACCACCACATTCTGGTGGCTCAGCCTGCCCTGGGAGATCAAACTGTAGTCCTTGCACTTACCTAAGCAAGCACTTTAGTGGGCCAAGCTATCTCGCTGGCCCGATTACAGATGATCTTTGACATTTGGGCCAGGGCCATGACTTTATGTGGGCTTGTATGCCCAGTACCTTTGATGTATAGGTTCTTTTTCCAGGTTGTGATAGGTACTATAGGCCCCAAACACATCTGCATATTAATGGTTCAGCAATGGCCAAAGGTAGCCATCAACTCTTCTCTTCAAAATAACCTCTAAGTAAACCTCTTACCTAAGGGGCCCACAAAGTGTACCAGCCAACAAAGGGAAAACAGATTTAACTCCTTCAGAAGTGGAAATTTTTTTAATGCTGTCTCACCCTTCAACCTGGGAAAGCCATTACTCGATCCCCCAGAGGCTCACTAGACATGACAATAATAGGTCAACTCCTGATGAGAGCCACACTGGCCACCTTTTATTTTCAACTAGTCTCTTGGTCACCGCATGCTTCCTTCCCCCAAGGGAAAGTTATTCGTTATCTTTCTCCATACTAGGGGGCCATAATGTGGGGATCATTTGTCTTTTGTCTTCCATGAGTCCTTTTTGAGGCTCTGGCTCAGTGTGTCACTTACATCTGCGAGTTGAAAAAGGACACTGCAAGGAGTGTGGGGAGGGCAAGGAAAGTGGAGGGTAACCACACAAAAGGAAAAGGCAGTGCTCCAACACAGCGTAATCCTTCAGTTGAGACGCCCCTCTCAAGACATTCTTACATCTGAGGACAATGATATCTTATCCTTGGTCTGTCCTCTGCTTGTGAAGTTGAGAGTAAAGAATCTTTTTAGTCTATACCTAATAATACAGTTGTGTGTTCTAGGTCAATTCTTTTTCTTTTTTTTCTGTATTTTAGGGAAGGGTCTACAGGGTATTCAGGGTCTCACTACTAGACTGGACTCATAGTAGATCTGCCTATTTAAAGCCTCCCAAGAGCTGGGATTACACCACACCCAGTCTCAACTGCCATCTCAGTGGGCCCTGGGGGCAGGGCCGGCATGGCAGGCTCAGGGATCGAACCCCTGGCTCCTGCTTGCAGATGCTTTAATCCACTGAATTATTTGGCCAGCCCTGGTCAATTATTTTTCATGTACACAAATGCCCACTCAAAACCCTGTGTCTTACCACATGGTTCCCTTATTCCAAATTAAGGTGTGAGAATGGGAGAAATGCAAGAAGAGTCAAATGTAACTGATCTGTTGTCAGTCCTTCAAATTCTGGTTCTCCAGGGCAATACCTCCTTATGAGGGTAGAGGAACAGGTAACTCACACCTGGGGATGTAGAAAGTTTCTAACCCTGTAGAGCATTGTTATCTGCTCAACACCGGCAGGACCAGCACGAGAAGCCCCACTTCAATAGTCTAGCTGGGCTCCATATGTTTACTTACCCTGACGGGGTCCTCTTTTCCGTCGGAATGCTGCTCCTGACTGCAGAGCTTCCAGAAGACTGTCCATCACCCCTGTCTCATCACCTTCTGTCAGGAACAAAGACAGACATGGAAAATGTTTAACCAGAATAGTACAGCTAATGTTAAGCTTCCCGATATGCAAAGCTATTGCTTGAATTCCCCTCTCATACAGTGGCTGACAGACGAGACCAGACAAAGAAGGCTCACCTTCAGGTCTTATAGGCCCATGTTTAATTGTGTTTGTTTAAAAATGGCCAGAAGAAGATTTACTTGCCTACTATCCAGTGCAAACCCCGGAATACTTCCCTCCAGTTCCACCCTCCCTGCACTAGCCAGAACTAGCACACAGAATTACAGAATGTCCAACTCCAAGGGCAGGACCAAGTGAGGACCAAGATGGCAATGCTAGAATTAGTAAGCAACCACACCACTCCCTCTTTATCCTAAAATGTTCTACTACAACAGTAAACTTCTCATGCAGAGGCTGGTGCAGGTTCCAGAGCAGGGCTAAGGGAAGAAGAGCACCAATCAAGAGTGCATTTCAACATGGAAGGAGAGGGAAACAAGCAGAGAAAGGCAGGTGAGAATTAATATGCTATATGTATATATCCCAACTCACCAGGAAAAATTTATGCATTATGTACTACAAATGTGTACTAATTAAAAAAAAAAGTGCACTCCAGCTGGACAGTGGCACATACTTGTAATCCCAGAGCTCTGGGAGGCTGAGGCCAGAAGACTGCAATTTAGAGCCAAGCCTGGGCAATTTAGGAACTTCATGAGACTATCTCAAATTTAAAGGTAGGTGGAGTTGGGATGTAGCTCAGTGTAAAGGCACTGGGTTCAATCCCCAATACCACCCCAGCCTCACCACATAAAGAACATTTCACTTAAGTGCTGCCTCCAGGGGCTACAACTTCTGAAGTCAGCTCTGTACCTTAAAGCAGCAGCTTGGCTGGAATATAAAGAGTTAAGCAGACTCCTTGTTCCAGCCTGGCTCAGTTTCCATGGCAACAGCTCAGGATAGTGAAATCTGAAACTGTGAAATCCCAAGAAGCCAGTTGGCAGCCAGCTCCAAGGCTGGGGCTCACTGATCCCAGCGCCACCTGCTGTCTGAACATCACTAGTGCAGCTGACCTATATTCCAACCTCACTTGCTTGACCCAGGTACTGGAACAGGGCAAGGCCCACTACGCCACCTGTAGACGGGGTGCAGTTCTCATCCCATTTGTGCACTGGACTTCACCTTCTCCCACTGCCTCTTAGCCATTTCCTACAGTAAAAAACCCTGGAGACCCAAGGAGAATGGGGAGGAAGGTCAAGGATACTCAGAGTTGCCCTTCTCTGCAATACTGGAGCAAAGTTTGTGGCTCACACAAAGGTAAGGAATTGCTTTCCAGAAAAGTATAATGAAAAATTCCCAGAAGAGGCATCAAAGTAGCCCTGCTGCTTGGTAATTACACTAGTGCTCTGCATTGAGTCTTACAGACTGAACAGCCCTGAAGACCCCTTCACATGCATATGCAGAAGGTTCATGGTCCTTCAAGTTCAGCTCTGTACCATGAGCAACACATGCTGTATTGGTGCATTTCCACTGCCCATGGTGAGGGTGGAGAGGGCAGGGAATCCACAGCAGGAAAGAAGCAGACACAGGAAACAGAGGCCCAGTAATTGAGACCACATGTTTCAACAAAGACATGCTTCTGGTAGTGAAGGAGAGATTCTGTTGAAGAAAAGAAGTTGGCCAGCCTCTCGCCCCTATCTGAAGTTTAGTCCAGTTATGATCTCATAGGTGTGTACAACTGTGCTAAGGTACTAGAGACATGGTTCTCAGTGAAATAAGCAGAAAAGGAGGGCAAGCCGCACTAGGAGGAGAGTCAGGAAAACATTTTTTTTTTTTTAATTTTATTTCTTTATTTATGCGTGTGTGTGTGGCCAGCTCAGCCCACCAAGGGCCGGGGCTGGCTGGCATGTGGTGCTGGGGGATTGAACCGCGGTTCCTGTGCAATGCTAAGCTTGTTCTAAGTAGGTGCTTTAGACCACTGAGCCATCTCACCAGCCCCTCAGGAAAACATTTTAAGAAAAAAAACCAAAAGATTTAATGGAGAGAATCAGAATAGGCCAGAGGAAGCTCTGGACAGGCAGAAGGAAAGAACACGTATTAAAACAATACTAAAGCTGCTGGGGAGAGACGTAATACAAGAACTAACAAAGGACAGAAAAAGATCTCAGCATGGAAAATTGGAATATGAACATAACTGAATTGGGCTTAAAGTCCAGCATCAGGATCTTGGAGGCGGAAAGCTGCCAAAAATCATCTGCCAAGAGCTCAGCTCAAACCCCATCTTTTTTCGTGGCCTCTAGATTAAAAACTTCCACATTTTCTTGTTTCAACCCATCAATCCTTCTGTACTTACCTGCATTCATGTCTATGAGTTGTTCTCTCTTCTGCTGCTTCTCCAACCGCTCTTTCTCTGCCTTCTCCTTGGCTAGTTTTGCTCGCCGCATCTTTTCTTCTGTCTCCCGTCGCTTCTGGTTCTCCTTGACAGCTTGCTGGGGGAGAAGGGAGAACATGTATATTCACCACCAACAAACAAGAGCCCTCTGGAAAAGTCAGCAGGTTGCCCTTGCTCACCAAAAACATATTCCTGAAGTTGTGCAGATCCATGAAGAATTCCTCCACAGACAACTTCTTAGGGTCAAAGAGGAAGTAATCACCTAGCTCCTTATAGAGCGTCTCCATGTTTGAGTGCATCATCCGCAGCTTGTTATACTGTTCCTGTGCATCTTTCACAAAGCTGTGCAGCCAAGGAGTGAAGGAATAAGCTCAGTGTCCTCGCCCAGAGAATTACCCAAAGATGCATAAGGGCAAGCACAATGATCATCAGTCCAGCACCACACATTACAGCAAAAAACAGAAACAGCAAGTATCAAAAGGGAAATGGTGAACAATAAATCCCAATACACTGACAGAGCAGGGATAGCAACTCAGCAACAGGCTGCTTAGCATACACAGGACAGAAACATGGCTAAGGCATATTGAGCAAAAAGCAATGTAGGTTATAAAATAAATTCATTAGATGTGAATCAGAAAGAAGTCTGCTAGCAGTGGTTAATTTCACAAAAGGCCAGAGAGGATAATGTCCCAGTGCAATGACAATGGGACAGGGAAAATAAATGATGTAGGCTTTTAGTTTCTCTGCATGCCTGGCTTTCATTTCCACAACAGTGAGGATGCTTTCAGGAACTACATATTTAATGGAAAAAAACCCCCACAAACTTTTGTTTACAAAAGAGGGATGCTCAATATTGCCACATCTATCCTAGTTGTTCCCTCAGGATAAGTTTTTCTTCCCTTCCTAAGAAGCAATACCCTCCTTTGAGAAAGGATATAGTCATTTTTTCAACAAACTTGTCTTTTTCATCTGTGGCTGGAGGAAAATTCTGAACATCACGCTCCACGTCAGAAATCTGTTTCTTCATCTGATCTAAGTTCTTCTGCAAGTTTTCAGCAGAAACTAAGAAATGCAAAAACAGCCCAAGAGCTTAATAGCAATTTTAGCATCAAGACCCCCTTGCTTCATTCACTCTGTATATATATTCTGGTACTTAATTAGTACTCTTATGTACCATCTTCTAATCATTTTATACGTTTTATACTTTTGCATCAAGACTATACTTACTGGGTAACTGAACTTCCAGCCTCCATAATACCAAGGACAAGGACAGACATTTAATCTAAAAAGAATCTGTCAAATCCCCTAAGTCCTTGGTCTCATTTATTTTACAGAACAGCATTTTAGAGGAAGAAGACACACAGAATTACAGAAGCAGGGTAGAAATATGTCCTATTTCTACTGAATGCTTTGCCTAACTCCAGGATAGTCAGATCTGCTGTTTGTTAATCCAGTCTGTGTTTTTCTGAATCGCAAAAACTAGGGGTTGGGGAGACAGCTCAGTGCTCTAAGCGCCGGCATGGTAAGTGCAAGTACCCAGGTTGGATCCCCAGTACCACATGCCATGCCCGCCCATGCGGAGCCAGCCACTGAAACTGGACATGCCTGTAATCTCAGCCCTGGGGAAACTGAGACAAGAGGGTCACTATAAATCCAAGCTGTGTACTGTGACCCTGTAGCAAATCAATAAATAAAAGATTTTTTTTTTTTTTTTCCAGAACCAGGGATTGAACTCAAGACCTCTGCGATTGCCAGAGAAGTGCTTATTCTACTGAGCCATCTCCCAGGCCCTACACAGGAACCTTTGAGCCTTACCTCTTCCCCTATGGCTTATCAGCTATGACTAAGCCCTCCCCCTTACTGAACCCTTCCTACTTACTGGAGGCTGAATTGAAAATGACTTAAAATCTGGACTCTCAGTGGTACATGCCAAGTCTCAGTACTCAAAGGGCTGAGGCAGGAGGATTGCCATGAGTTCAAGGCCAGCCTGAGCTATACATAGTCCAAGAACAGCATGACCTACATAGAAAGATCCTGTCTCAAAAGTAAAAATAACAAAATCTTGACTGTCTTATTTCTAGAGGCTCAGAACCACCTTCGCTCTTTGCCCTGACCTGCCTTACCTCGACTGGCCTTTTCCACATGGGCAAGTTCATCTGGAAACTTGAGGACATCAGGATAGTCATTTTCACATAACTCAGCCAAGAAGTGCAACAACGTCATCTTCTGGTCTGTAGACTTGGTGTCTCGCAGCTTGGGGCAAGAGGAGAATTATTAGTGCTGACATGCCCAAGATTGCCTCAGGCCCACACTGGGCACCCACAGCCTGTACACCTTCCCCTTCAGGTGTCTTATATCTCACCTTACAGAGGAAGCTGATGTTGAAGCCAAACGCACCAGCATTCCTGGAGCCGGCATTCATATAGTTTCCAACAAGGAGGGTAATTTCTAGGAGGCTGGAGAAGCTCTCACTTTTACGCAACTCCTCACAAGCAGCAGTGACAGACACAATCTCTGGCTTGATATTTTCCACTTGCTCACTGAATTGTAGCTTGAAGAGGATGGCATTGAGGCGAGGCCGCAGACGGGGCACCGTGCCCATCTAGTAGGGAAGACAAGCAGGTCTATTATAGCTAATAGAAGCCTCCCTTGGGAAGATCAGAGGGGCAGAGTAGGGGGAAGAATGAGAGAAAGACAGGGCCAATGGAATTGCTATCAACAAATGAAAAGGTATTTATATACAATGGAGTACTACTTTGTCATAAAAAAGATAAATCTCAGTCATGTAGGAAAATGTATGTACCTTGAGATGATGTTAAGTGAAATGAATCAGACACAAGCGTATCACATGATTTGTTACACAAGGAACATAACTATAAATAAAAGGGCAAACTAAAAGATAGTAAGACACTAGAAGATGCATCTTTTGCAAATGGCAAGGGGACCAAAAGATGGAGTGAAGAGGAAGGAAGGGGATGTAAAAAGAATTAAATGTGTTAGTACATATACCAACTCCCCACAAAGGATGTAGTCATTATGTACTGCAAACATGTACTAAGAAAAAAAGAAAGGTTCAAAAACAGACAAATGGTAAGCAGCAAGTATGCAGGCTGGTCTCTAGAGCAAAGGGAACAGGAGGGACAGAGAAGAGAGGAGCGCCACGGCTCCACTCACCACCACACCAAACTGCTCGGACTCTGCCAGATCATCGTATTCATCCTTCAGTTCAGAGAGCACTTTTAACTGCTCTGGTTCTGGCATTTGTTTAATGAGGTTCTGCAAGACAGAAGAAAGAGTATCTTTGGTTGAGGGGAGGATGAGCTGACAACTCGAGTCTAAGCGACTTTGACTCTTACCAGTCCCACACTCTGCCAAGGACTACTTCAAAGGAAATATGGGGCAGTGGTAGGGTGCAGGAACAGCCAATAAGACAGAAGGACTTTTAGGAAATATGTTGAAATCACCAGACCACCAGAGAAATGTCAGTTTCTCTGAAGCTACTTTTTTAAGTCAACAAGGCTAGAGGAGGTCCCTCCTTATTTAGGGAGGGAGAAGCAGAGGCCAAAGTAGAGGCCAAAGTAGAGCTATGAAGGGGAGCCAGCTCCTGCACAGTCAACTCTGCTCCTTACCTGAATCATAGACTCGGTCAGAACAGCTTCATTGACCTCCAGGATGACACTCTTAATCTCTTGATAGGGCATCCGGAAGGAACCCAAAAAGATTGCTGCCAGAAGAGGAAAGACATGTTCCTCTCAGTCTCTTCCCCCGTGCCAACCCATCATACCAGCCTATGCTGGATAATCTTCCCAAGAAAGTGCTTGGAAAGTCACTCTACCTATACAGTTAAAGCTCAAGCTCTAAACCTAGCATCTAAGCTGCCTCATTCCCACATTTGTCACACACCAGTCACACTGTTCCATATAGCACATTCCACAAACAACACAATTTCTTGCTTTTGCTCACACAGGAAGTCTTTGATCTTTTTTTAAAATTTTATTTATTTGTGTGTGTGTGTGTGTGTGTGTGTGTGTGTGTGTGACCAGCTCAGCCCACCAGGGGGCAGCGCTGGCTGGCATGTGGTGCTGGGGGATTGAACCGAGGTCCCTGTGATTTGCTAAGCTTGTTCTAAATAGGTGCTTTTTTTAATTTTTTTTTCCAATTTTATTTATTTATTTATTTATTTATTTATTTATTTATGTGTGTGGCCAGCTCAGCTCACCAGGGGGCGGGGCTGGCTGGCATGTGGTGCCAGGGATTGAACTCAGGACATTGTGATTGCCAGGCAAGCGCTTATTCTACTGAGCTATTTCCCTGGCCCCTAAATAGGTGCTTTAGACCACTGAGCCATCTCACCAGCCCCTTGATCTTCTTTATGTATAGACTTCACCCAACTCGGTTTTAGTTTCCCCCTCCCAAGATTCTATCCTCAAAGCTGCCACTGCCTTGATCTTCCCTCTCTTTTTCTTCTGGTCCCCAGTGGTGCTGGGGATCAAAGCCAGCTTCTCAGGTATGCCAGGCAAGGCCTCTACCACTCTGCTACATCTCAGCACC